TTGGTTCAATGTACTTGAGAGAGAGAATAAAATGGATCTTTATGATCATCACTCCTTTGTAAGATTGGATGCTCTAGAGAAGGGTGGATCCCAATCTAACATTGTCTAATCAATGAATGGAAGGTATGGGAGAGAGGGTGGGGCCTAGTACAAGATGATATGAGCAACGTGGCAGATCGTAGGCCCCAACCATCCATTTATTTGAATGGGGATTGGGCCTCAATTCTACCTGATTATACCTCATAGTTTCTTATAGGTATTTAGAGAAATAGCATTTGAATTTAAAAGAAAATATTGAGTGGTTAACATATCTTTGACTTATCTTGGTTTGTTGTAAATATTGGTTGTAACACGTACCATTGATTTACCCTTGCTATATCACTCAATTAATTAAAGATAATTATATATCAAAGCGATAGACCCTGACATTCGATATTGACGTTGTTCTCTCTCTCTTGAGAGCTTCACTATTTTGCTGGTAGCTTCTGTATCTCTCTCTCTTTTCATTCTTTTTCTTTATATTGATTTTTTTTACAGCCATATTAGTTGTGTGTCCCACCACCACCAACCCAAAACATTAACCTAATGTCTCTCTCTACAATAGCCATACAATAGCCAGTCTCACAAAAGACATCATTTTATATGCATTGGATGGTCTTGGTATTGATTATAATTCATTGATTACATCAATTACCACAAGCGTTTATAACATGCTTTTTAATCGTGAGAAGCAGTTAGAACAATATTATTATTCAACAAATGAAAATATTGGATCTGCTTTCTTTACCGCCCGCGGCTGTGGTCGTGGGAATCGAGCTCGTTGTCGTGGTCGAGGAGGTGGCAGAGGACATGATACTCAGGCTCGTTCAGGTGGTTCGTCTCATGCCTCTCGTGGCCATGGGACATTTGCTTCCAATACTCGTGGTACACCTGGCCCTCCAAAATGCTCATCTATTATTTGTCAGATCTGTAACAAGGCTGGTCATAGTGCCTTGCATTGTCGGCAGTGCCACAATTTCACATATCAACCGGATGATTTGCCAACTTTCTCTGCTGTGAACCTCTCCACAGATCCTTATGTTTCCACTTGGTACCCTGACACATGAGCAACCAACCACATGAAAACAAATGCTAGTAGCATCATGCATCCATCTCCTTATAATGGTCAAGAATATGTTGTGGTGGCAAATGGTAACATTGTTCCTATTAACAGCAGTGGTACTACATACCTTCATATTCCTTTGTTGAATTTTTTTTTAAGAGATACTTTACATGTACCACATCTTCCAGCAAATCTCATCTCTGTATCACGGTTTACTAAAGACAATGATTGCGTATTTATCTTTCATTCTTCTGGATTTTAAATAAAGGATCGATGAACGGGGAAGATTTTGCACGAAGGACCAACTCAAAATAAGCTCTTCCCAATCAAAGCTGCAACTAGTGTGAAACACCACAAATTTTCTAGATTTGTTCAAAGGAATTCTACAGGTGATATTTGGCACAAGCATTTGGGTCATCCTGACTCTCGCAATCTAGATTATCTAATGAAAAATAAATGTCTCTTTGTGATTGGTAGACGAACCTTAATGGATTGTGGTGTTAATAAAAGTTGTTGAAATTTTATCTTTCCAATTCTTTATCTCCTACTGCTTTGCACTTAATTCATACATATGTGTAGGGAGCAACCCTGGAGATTTCTTGTCGGGGTTATAGGTATTACCTGATATTTGTGGATAACTATTCAAAATACACTTGCATTTTCCCTCTAAAGCAAAAATCTAGGACTGTTGACTATTTTCAAATATTTAAGAATGTGGTTGAAAATCTTTTTGCTACTAAAATCAAGTTTGTGGAATCTTATGGTGGTCGTGAGTATGTTAATAAATTATTCTTGCAAATGTTAATAAATTATTCTTGCAATTTTTGTCGAACTCTGGTATTTAACACCGCTTGTCTTGCCCTCATGCTCACAAACAAAATGGAGTGGCAGAGAACAAGCATCGTCATAATCTTAAGACTAGTCTTACTCACCTCTACCTTGTTGGCATGCCTCGACGCTTTTGGATGGAGGCCTTCTCTACAGCTATTTTTCTAATAAAGTGTTTGCCAACTTAGACTTTGGGATACAAGTCTCTATATAAAGTTCTATTTGGTACTCCACCATATTACAATATTTAGCGCAGTTTTTGATGTCAATGCTATCTATTTCTTGGCTCTTATCGGTCTGATAAATTAGAGACTAGATCTATTTATTGTGTGTTTATTGGCTGCGGGTCCCAACACAAAGGTTGCAAGTGTCTTGTTCCAGTCACTAATCGCATTTATCTTTTTCACCATGTTCGCTTTAATGAATCTCTCTATCATTGTGCAGGCTTGTCATTGGAAGACCAGTCCGCCAATAGTGACCCTTTCGACTATTGGCTCAATCCACTTCCTTCTATCTCCTTACCACATGATGCTTTCAATGTTCCCCCCTCTAGCACTGTTGCACCTCTCTCTGAGGTGCCCACTCCATTATAAAATGTTCCTCAGATTCCCTCTTCACCAACCATGTCTTCCTCTCTTGAATCAAGCCTAGTCTTTCCTTCATCAGTTGAGTCCTGCATACCAACCTCCTTTGGTCATTCTCTTTCTTCCACTTCCATTCATCATATGATTACTCGCACTCGAGATGGGACCCACCAACCAAAAGTTCTCTTTAACTATTTTGCCTCTAGGAATCCTCTTCTCAATGGCTTTCAAACCTCTCTTGCTTCATCCCAACTTATTGAACCCACATGTTATTCCAATGCTGCTAAAGATCCTAATTGAAGGGCTGCTATGGTTGATGAGTTTAATGCACTTTTAAAGAACCGCACAAGGTCACTGGTTCCTGCCTCATGAGCCTCTAATATAGTTGGATGCAAATGGGTGTATAAGCTAAAAGAATGGGCTGATGGATGGATTAAGCGATATAAAGCTCGCTTAATCGCGAAAAGATTTAATCAACGATTTGGCTTGGATTATGACGAAATGTTCAGTCTTAAGGTTAAACCTCCTACAATACAACAGGTCTTATCCATTGCAGTTAATCGTGGGTGACCCATCAAACAACTTGATGTTAAAAATGCATTTTTACATGGTACACTTCATGAAGTTGTCTATATGCATAAACCCCCAGGATTTGTTGACAAGAACTACCGTAACCATGTTTGTCGCCTGCATAAATCTATTTATGGTCTCAAACAAACCCCTCGTGCCTGGTTCACTGGTTTTAGCTCTTATCTCCTAGAGCTGAATTTCTTGTGTAGTTCATCTAACACATCCATTGTTCAGTCATCATGGCTCCTATGGACTCACTATACTTCTCTTATATGTTGAAATACTCACTGTGGTTGATTCTTGTTTTCTATCTACTATTATTGCTAAGCTTCGCAGTAGGTTTAAGGTTAAAGATTTGAGTGACCTCCATTTTTTTTTTGGTATAGAGGTCAATCACTCTTCATTTGGCATTCACCTAAGCTAAAGCAAGTATGTCTTTGATCTCCTTAAACGATCAGCAATGCTTGGTGTGAAGCCTTTCTCCTCTCTAGTCACTTCTGGTTCCAAGATTTTTCTCTATGATGGTAATCCTCTCAGTGATGTCTCAACTTATTGCAGCATTATCGATGCATTGCAATACCTCACAATGACTCGACCTGATATCACATATGCAATTAATCAGGTCTGCCAATTCATGCACCAACCTCGTACCAAATACCTCGTTGTGGTTAAACACATTCATCGTTGTATCAAAGGGACTTCTCATCTTGGCATATATCATTAATTAATTGAGTGGTACAGCAAGGGTATATATAACATAACACGACAACAACTAGATAAGGATTATTGACCGAGTAAATTAAGGATACATGTTACAACCAATATTTACAACAAACCAAGATAAGTCAAGATAAGTCAAAGATATGTTAACGACTAAAAAATCCCTTTCAAATTCAAATGCTCATTCTCTCAACAAAAAGGTTGAGGTTTCTCCTGTATCTATCCATATAAATTATACATACAAAGATATAAACTATCCAAGCTTAATTAAACGGCTGAAAATTATTACATTGTTTTCTGCTCACTTCCAGTCATCCAATTAAAATTAGAGGGTTGAATCCTCTAGTACATAAAATTTGTGGTTAAAAACCAAACTCTTTCCGATCCAAATCAATAATCATCCATGTCCTTTCTTTTTCTCTTTCAAAGCTTATTTAATATTTTATTGGCCGCCCTCAAGCCCCATTCCATACAACCATATTTCAATTTTTGTTTTATTCTTTGTTTTTAATGTTTTTCTGAATCACTAACTTGAACTAGTCAAGACCATCCAACCATATTTCAATTTTTGTTTTATTATTTGTTTTTAATGTTTTTCTGAATCACTAACTTGAACTAGTCAAGACCGATTCGAATCACTGATCAAGAGATCTGATAGCGATCTATGGTCCACGTTTGAAACACCACACGTGGGCGGAGACACATTCAAAGGTATCCCTTTATAGTAAAATAAAAACAAAGAACGGTACAATGAAAAATGAAAAATGATATGTTTTGTCGTACTGCAAGTATTCAGTCCCAAGCGATGCAAGTATGGAATGAGGAAAACAAACCCACATGACCCATCTGGAAAACATGGCAAGCAATTCTAGGGCCACAAAATAAAACCCAAAGAAATGAAAGTAGCGCTAAAAATAGGAAAGAACTGCATTCTAAGTGCATAATACAAACCAATTCACAGAATTTTCAAAAAACCGTTTGTACTTTCAAATATACACTTGAAATATTCATAATTTGTATAAATAACTCTAAAATATTAAAAAGTTCATAAAAAAGATGCATAATATTCAAAAGTTTTCAATACATATATTTTAAATTACACTTCTTCTTTGTTTTTTAAGTTTTTATTCCAACAATACACCTAAAGACTTCCCGAATTACTGAAGCGCCAAAGCACTTCTCTTTTCCAGCCAAAATAAAGAGCTCTCTAAAGCGGATTTGATAACATCCGTATAAAGTACAAACCGTTTGTAACAATTCCCAAATCCAAGTAACTAAATAGTTCTCAGTTTATCAAAGAGAGACACCAGTCAAGATAAGGACTCAGCAGGCTCATGATCCCATTGTTGATTGGAAATGGTGACATTAGCAGCAATGGCACACAGATACAGGAAAACAAGTGCCATGGTTAAAATTACAAAACAAACATCACGAATCTTGATATTTATGGCCATGTCCAAGCACTCATAGGATACGATATCGCGTAGCCGCAGTCCCATTGGTTCTGTGACTCCGACATTGGGAGCTCCAAGTAGTAGAGGGCCTCATCGATCATTTAACTTTTCCTGTTTTTTTGCAAGGATAAAAAGGTTGATCTAAGGCAAGAGTATTTCCTTGTGCTCTCACAAAGCTCTTAGAAGTCAAAAGCCCCATCGGTTCAATGGCTGTAGTAATTGGAGCTACAAATGGTTAGGGGCCTCAATGGTCTTGTGTCTCTTAACGATAGGAGCTACTAATTGTTAGAGGTCTCATTGGTTTTGTTGCTCTGAAAGGGGCATCTCCCAATGGTCCGATGCCTCGCCCTCACCATCAGGCTCCCTCCTCTTCTTCCTCCCCTCTCCATGCCTCGACCTCCTCGGGGCCTCATCCTCGCTCTCGCTTTCATCATTCCCATATGGCCTCATGGGTCCTCCAGCCCTCATCTCATCCCCTCCACTGCCTACACCATCAGGGCCCATCCCCTCCTTCCCCTGTTCCCCACCCCCACCACTCTCTGTCTTCCTCTGATCCCTCCTTCCTCTTCCAAACCCATTCACATTGGGTAAAACTGGTCGAAAAGGCACTGGCCCTGGCCTACTAGGCCTACCAGCTATCCCCATGCCACCCATAAATGCAGGTCCCCTAGTGGAGCTCATCATCATGCCAAGTCCAGGGGCAGCACCAGGAAACATGGCCCCAGCAGGTGGGGCCCGGAACATGAGCCCTGCCCCTGTGGGCCCCGCTGCATCAATATAACCAATGCCGGGAGCAGGCCCAAGTGCTGAGAAGTCACCTGAGAACCTCGGGGCAACATACGGGGGAAAACCTCTGTATACATCGGGGGGTCCTGCACCATATGTGAAGGCCTCGGGGCCCCCAAGCATCATAGGGGAGAAGGGCCTGAGGCCTGGGGGCATGGGGCGGACCCCGCCTCGTGCGAAGGGAATTTGTGGAGCCCACATGGGCCTTGCCCTGGAACCACGGGCGCCAGGACCCACGTTTAGGGGTTGGCTTGATGACCCATCATCATCGTCATCGGTCTCTTCCTCTTCTTCTTCATCATCGTCGTTGTCCTCAAAAGGGACGATCTCGGGGTTCTCAGAGCCGTCACCACCTCCCGGGCTCACCCCTTTGGCCCTCTCCTCCTCACGTTTTGACTTGGCAGCGACCGCGATTGCCTGTCAGTGATGTTAAATATTAGTATCAAGGCACATGGATGCTCTCTCTCTGTCTCTCTCTCTCTCTAGTAGACACGATAGGCAAGATAATCAACTAATTAGTATCGAAACACATGGTTGCCACCCTCTCTCTTGCATGCCAACAAAATATGCATGGGCATCAATCCCTTAAACTCAACAGTGTGCCGTTGAGTACTATTTAGGTAAATGGCAGGAGTTCTGGAATACATTATCTTGAAAGCAAAAACCACTCAGTTTCAACTGGAGCGCCTCTGTTTCATTTTCTCTTTCAACCTTCCCTAGGCAATATTGGATTCCTATAAAAGCTACCGAAGTTTTGCAAAATGGTAAGCCGTATCCAAGTGGTGCAGACTATATGACACACTAGAAGTCCACTCCAAAGACCAAAAGTGGACATAAACCATATTTTCTGATCATGGACATTAAACTTGGTTGGCTTGGCTCCCATGTTTGGGCATAAAAAAAGGACCATGTTCCACTCCATTCCCAGTGTCATATGGTAGAGACTAGATCCCTAGTTTTCTATCACACAAAAGCTCATTCAGGAATGGTTAATCTCCATCGTCCATCATCAGGAATGGATGGTGGATGTCCCCAAAATGAAACTTACACCACACACCGCTGGTGCATTACCATTCACCATTTCATTGCTGGACTTGGGCGAAAATGATAAACTTGCTTCCACAAGCTACAAAGATATTGCATTCACCCCAACAGAAAAAAAATAAAAATTTACAAGCAAGCTAACGTAAAGTTTGCCCATCGAAAATCTTAACAAAAGAAAAAGGTTATTTCTCTATAGGTAAAATAAACAAAATTAGGCCACCCAGAAAAATGTAAGTGAAAACACAGAATGGATGGAGGCGATCAGTTACCATAAGTTCACTGTCTGGCTCGAGATACAGCAATGAAGCCAACTGCTCACCAATAGAAGGCTCTAGCTCTTGGCAGTCACGGCTAATCTGCAGAAAGTGTTAAGCAGGCACATTTAGAAAGGCAAATCTAAAAAAGGACATGTTTTTCTTTTATCAAAATTTTATCATAAAAATCAAGCACGGGCAGAGCTAATTAACAAGTATGAGAGCGCATAGCATGTTCCCTATCTAAGCACACTGTAAAGTACTCTCTTGGGTAAAATACCTACTTAGGAGTATTATCTCATTCTAAATTTTGTGATCCACTTCAGATCACACAAAGGAAAAAAAAAAAAAAATTAAAAAAGGAAAAAAAATCGGATTTTGAGTTTCTAAAAAATTAGACAGATCTGACCGTCCAAATATTCAATGGTCTCTATCCAATCTTAGGATCTGCAAGGTCGAGAACGTTACATCCCCGAAAAATATCCTAGATAGGGTTTTTACCCGAGGTAGTATATAATTGTAGGAGCATATAATCTTTTGGCAACAATATTACCATCATGCTAAGCTTGTTTTTTTTTAATTTGTTCACTATTATCATGCTAACCTTTCTTGAAATAAAGACGCTAGTTGTGGACCACTAAACATTATAGATTAATGGACATTATCATTAGCCTTTTCTCTTTCTCATCATATAGTGAATTAGTTATACATGGTTCCAAGTGATTATTTTACAATATCTTCATTCTTGATCTTTAAAAGTGATTATTCACTTATTCAACACCATTTGCCAGCCTCAATTATGACCACAGATACTCAGTTCATCTCAAAAGCAAAAACCGGTCTCAACAGTAAACCCTCACAAAGCAATGGTCTCGTTTAGCATTGTGATCTACTACTCTTAGTACAATTTATATAGCCATTCATCTCACTCAGCGCCAAGATGATCATCAAAGTTATTCACTATGAATTATGACTGCAGTCCCCTATAAAAGATCAAATCCAAAATGTTTCCAGAGCATTATTTTTTTCGTTATTCTTGAAACACGATATACATTTCTCTTTATCAGTAGACCTGATTTAGACAACAGATTTTCTAAATTCATCAATCACCCACTTCAGTACGACTAATTCTATTTGGCTTTAGCATAGTTTACTAGCACCTCCAAATCCATCATATGTAAATCATTCGTCTCTTAGACATACTCTTGGCTCAAAAAATGTAAAAAATTGTCGGACTTTGGGTGGAGGAATAATATATTCCTTGTTGACATTAGCTTGTTGTTGAAGGTGCCAGCAAAACCCAAAATGCAAATATAGTGTACAAACCCCAATGATAAAATGAGCTCCGAGAGAGAGAGAGAGAGAGAGCAGTTTGTACCTTCACAGGCAAATTCTCATTGTATGGATTCCTCAAATGGCGGGTTTTATGGAAGGACAATTCACATAGCTGAAAGTAATGAAAAGCTTAATGAGTGTGCTTGTTTAGAGCTGAAAGTAACTTACTAAGAGCAGTTAAACTATAAATGTTAACTGAAAACAAAATAGAAGTTTGACATTAAATAAAATAAGATGGATATTTATAAAATAGATGAAACTAGAGCTGGTGAAACATGTGGAATCCAATCCTCCTTATTCATGCCCACAGATTGATATTGCAGTTACCATTTCTCATCTTCTTCTATTTGGATAGCTTACCAAAACCATTTGGTGAAGAAATAATTGGGAATTAACCTTACCAAATCCTAATTGACAAGAAATCATAAAACCCCCATCCCAAAATATTCAAGCTATGGATCTAAACGATATCTAATTCCATGTCAAAAAATTTTGCACTTCTCGATCGCTTTACAACTATTTTGGCTGTGAAAGTGAATTTATGAATAATAAAACTACTTTTTTTTTATTTTGTTTCCTAAGTACCCTTAGTTTCAAAATTTCCCTTTTTTTATTTTGAGGTTTTAATAAATAAAATTTATATATATTTTTGAAACATACACCTTACTTGGTGAACCAAATGTCCGAATCTTGAGTCAACTTGACCTGACTTGCCCTCTTTCACTACATCAAGACACTAGCTATGATATATTTTCCCTTAAGCCGATCACTTTTCATAATTTAATCCAACTTCTCCTTTTGTACCTTTTGAATATTTAACATCGTTTTCTTACTTAGGCAACTACTTGAGAAGCTTAGGGTGGAGGAAAAAGACCTCCACATGGTCTTTATTGATCTAGAGAAAGCTTATGATAAAATACCTCAAGATTTGATTTGGTGGGTAGTGGAAAAGAAAGTAGCCTCTAGACACTATATCGACTTGGTGAGAGATATGTGGGATGGAGCGCTAACCAGTGCATAAACAACTTGGACAGACGAGTGACTTTTCAATGACAATAGTCTACATCAGGGTCAACATTGAGCTCATTCCTCTTTGTTTTAGTTATGGACGACTTAACTAGGCAACTACAAGATGAGGTACCGTGGTGTATGTTGTTTGTAGATGACATAGTTTTGATCGATGAGACCCAAAACGGCGTCAACACAAAGTCAGAACTTTGGAGGGATGCTCTAGAATCTAAAGGTTTTAATTAGCAGGACTAAGATAAAATATATAGAATGCAAGTTTAGTAATAATAGGAGTAGAGACGAGAAAGCAGTTAAGATTGACGGCTAGGAAATACCAAAAAAGCACACTTTCGATATCTTGGGCCGATAATCCAAGAAAATGGAGAGATTGAGGAAAATGTCGCACATAGAATTAGAGCTGGGTGGGCGAAGTGGAGATGTACACCAGGAATTTTATGTGATCGCCGCATACCAAAGAACCTAAAGGGCAAGTTCTATAGGATAACTGTGAGACTAGATTTGTTTTATGGGACGGAATGTCGAGAGGTCAAAAAACTATATCCCAATCGAATAAGTGTAGCGAAGATGAGGATGTTGAGATGGATAAGTGGCAAGACAAAAAGGGATAAAATTTGAAATTAATACATTAGAAAAAATTAGATGTGGCACCAATAAGTAATAGGATGAGAGAAAGTAGACTTAGGTGGGCTGGCCATGTGTGGCACAGCCCAGTACCACACCTGTTAGGAGGTTTGAGTTCAAGTAGGAGCCTCAAAAAAGGCAGCAGGTATGCCCAAAAGGCCATGATTGGAAGTAGAGAGAAAAAATATGGGGACTTATGGCCTCACTGAGTGTATGGCCCTTAATAGAGCATAATGACGAACCATAATTTGTGTAGCCGACCCCAATTAGTTGAGAAAAGGCTTTGACAATGATGATGATGAATATTTAACATCGAGTATTAGGATTCGCTGCTAAGAGAACACTCCAAACTATTAAAAACATAGAATTGTTACTTTTGCGCATTGCAAACAGCCAAGCATATTACCTTTAATTTCTATAAGTAAAAGAATATTACCTTCAACCATTTCAGGGAGAAATTGCGGCCATAATGAGCAGTTCCATGTGCATATTTCCATCCCCCACCACCAACATATCCACCAATTTTAGATGTCATCTTTGCGCACCCCTGAAAAAACAATAACCATTCCAACATTTTACCATGCACAAAGAAAACCCAATTAAGTAACAGAAATTATATCATACACAGCCAGTGAATGGCACATGTGGCACATGGTGCACAGCCAGGCAATACAATGCTCATGCCTACAGTGGGTGGTAGGGGTTGTTTGTATCTCCTTGAATGTCGGTCAACAGGGACTACGATAAATCTGTGCTGATCATTAAGGCCCCAGCTGTGTACCAGGTTCCATGTACGTGCTAAGTATGGAAACTTACCTATGAAGTACAATTGACCAAAGTTTCTGCATGGATATTCAGGCTAAATCCGAGAAATTGTGCACTAATACACCAGAGTGGTTGATAATGAATGCCATATGTACCTGGAAATGGCGAGTCCGGTTGATCGAAAATATCAATACTACATTCTCAGAGGAATCAAAAGCTTCATTTAGTTTTGACTCGTTGCTTCTCTGCGTTGCCCATATTCCTTTCTGCACGGAGAGCTCCAGATTCTCACGGTTGCAACTTTTCACGATAAAATATCTAAGTTCCTCATATTCCATAAATGAGAAACCAATTAGTGCTAATAAATTACAAACAAGGAAATCAGTGCCAAATTTGAACAAGTATGAAAAAAGTACTCATATAAGCAAAGTATCGCAGCAAAGGAGTCAAAATGAAACTTCCTCCCAATGTGGTCTCTAAACATTAGATTACAGCAATAACCCAATTATTGCCTTAACATTGCCAAAAACATCTACACTTTGGTGGAATATGACCACTTAATAGCACATATTACTTAGCTTTCACGCTGTAGGGAGAAAAGTGACTTCAGAGATAAACTTACTAATTGTCTCACCCAAAACATGAATAAATGAGAACCATTCATCTATTTAATTGAAAAACGCCAATAGAGATCTAGATGTCACTACAGGAGAACTAGATCGTATGTGGAAGAAAGTAGCTCATCCCTTGAAGAAGAACAGAAAATGCAACCAAAGGAAGAAGAACAGAAAGCGCAGCCAAAAGAAAGAAGAGTCAGTTTGTATAGTCACATTCTTTACAAAATGAGTATCAGCAATTACATCTGATGCTCCATTGATAGACATTGACAATAATTTCATGGAAATGACATGTCTTATAATATACATTTTTCATGCATATTAAAACCCACAGATTTATGACAAATCCATGGATATCTAGCCAATCCACCACTTTCGATGTGATAATTAATTTTCAGGGGAACTCACATGCCTCCATCTCATCCCCAAGTACACCAGTTCCAACTAAAGGATCCATTGCTGTTGTCAGCATCTTGCTATATGAGATTTCCAAGCCTTACATTCAAAGAGAGAGAGAGAGAGATAACCCTCTTTATTTATTTTTTATGTTTTTTTGCCAAATTAGGAAAGAAGACTCGCTGAAAATGCCACTTAACCTCCATGGAACAAAACATTCCTCAAGATACATCATTCACATTTGCGTACAACATAACAAGTAATGGAACATGAAATATACAAGCATAGGTTACAAACAGATTCAAGAGAGAGAGATAACATCAATAGGAAAGAACACAAACCATAAGAAGAACGAGAACAAGAAGGTTCTTAGAGAGAAAAGCAAGGTAAGACAAATTTTAAGGAGAGGGAGAGAAAAGTAAGAATGAGGAAGAACTTATAAACAGGAAAAGTAATGAGAACATTTTTAGAGGGAAGAATGGAGCTTAAACGACCAACTAAATCTGGCTCAATATAGAGTGGACCGATGACATAAAGTAGGGCACAGGCATACATCTAAGTAGATCATGAATCCCCAAGTGGACTCATATAGCACTTCACAGTACATAGTCAAACCCCACCAGAGCTGGATTTCCTTTAAAACTACAGTCTAATTCAAAGAGGCACTAATGCAAGAATCCCGGTTCCAGTTACATTAATAATGCCCCAATAATCAATGCTCAAACAATACCTCTAAATTGTGGTTGTCCCTATCATTATAGAAGCTAGAAAGCACCACCGGAAGGATTCTCCAACCAAAAGAGGTGCCTGTCTATATGCTAGCTCCAAATCACAAATACCAAGCTCCGATACGGGCCTGGAATTAAAAGTAATAAGGGAGAGGCTAAAAAGAAGCCCCCAAGCATAATTAATTGCAGTAGAAAATGGTTCACCAGTTGCATGAATCCCGAGAACATTCATAACTAGTGAACTGACAATATCAATATAATGAAACATGATGAAGGTTTCACTCCAAAATTCATGGAGCAACCGAGTTTTGGGGAGTTTACAATTATCAGGAAAGGGATTGGAGGGCAACTAATGAAATACTGATTTTTCTAGTTGACGTTCAAGAATTGATTGGAGACGGTTGCCTAAAGTAGAGTCAAGAACACCATCGCAGATCCTTGGTTCCGAGATGAATCTAAAAATTGGGGCCAAAAGTTGCACTATTACCACATAATTTCAGTCTATAAGCTTCCACAGGTTAACCCAAGGATATAAAACAAAATAACCCATGCATCTACTCAAGAATAGACCGGATTCTGGATCTTCCACTGCGAACCACTGCATTTGAGACTTCCATCTCTTGTAGAATGGATACATTTTCAAGGTATTCCACAAGTTATTCCTCCCACTTTCCTCAATATTGAGATGGTTTCATCTTTAAGAACTCCCCAGTGATCCCCGACTCCTCTTTACTCCAAAGATTTAAGTCTTCCTTTTTCATTTTGATACGTAGATCTAATTTTCCCTTGAACAGATAACTTTTAAACCACCACCACCAACATTCAATGCAAGAACGTTTCCACCCTTTGTTCACAAATTCTTTGAACTTCCAATGCACAAACTACATCTAGAGTACAAAGGAATTGATCCACTTTTCTAAAGTCCATCATCAAAAGAAAAGCCTAATGAGTTCTATAGTCCTCTGTGAAGATACAAAATATTACTGAAAATAATTGTTCCTGCATTGCCAAAATTTTTTCAGTGACTTCAGTCCAATCCTTACCACATTTAATGGTTTGTTTGCCCAGGTAAGCAAGCCCCTCCAAAAGTCAATCATGTCAAAATATAGAGATCCAAAAATGCTATCATACTTGAATACAAATCCGAGACAACACCCCTTACATGACACATTTTTTCTCTGTCACCCAAATCAAGTACGATGAGCCACCTTAGTTGCTCCAATTGCATAAAAAAGTTTCCAGCATCATATTGGCACCGGTGCAGTAAACATATCCAAGTGTCTGGGTGATCTATCATTACAAAGGAAACCAAATAGGTCCTAGGACATTATTTTGCTTCAATTAGACGTGGCAGCACAACATGGGATAGGAGTAACCGAGACAAGTAGGAAGATCTTTCTTTTATTATTATTATTATTTTTTTGATAATTAGGAAGTTCTTTACTATTCAAGTTAGTATACAAACCTAAAAAGTAGAATAACCAGTCCTCCTCCACACTCCTGATAGTCAGATACTGCCTACCAAATAGGTCCTAGGAGTAACCAAGTAGATAATTAGACAACATGGCAAACGAGTAACCAAATAAGTCCTAGGAAATTATTTTGCTTCAATTAGATGTGGCACCACAACATAGGATATAGTGACGAGACAACTAGGAAGATCTTTTTTTCGTTCTTTGTTTATTTTGGGGGGTTAATTAGAAAGTTCTCTAATTCTCAAGTTAGTATCCTAACCTAAGAGGTGGAGTTAGCAGACCCCCTCCACACTCCTGATAGTCTGATACAGCATACCATCCTATTTCATTTTTCAGAGACCAAAGCATTTGCATCCCTCTAACCTTTGTTCATACATGATCCCCAATAAACATACAAACAAAAAGAAAGGTCCCCAAAACTGTAAATAGCTGCTCAAAATTTTGCTAAAACTCATGAAAATTAAAACCCTTTTTTATTCCCTATTGCTCAATGTGAACTCATTAATACAATATATTAAGTGGCTTGTGAGGTAGGAGAACTTTGATAATAACCACAACAAGAACAAACTATCAACCACAAATTCAGCTATCAAGTACAAAGTTTTCACTACCAGAAGCCTACATCATGCTTTAAATCCATCATCAGATATTCAGAATGGTAGTGCAGAAAAGTTGGAAGCTAAAACCACAGAACCAGAAAGAAGCAAACTATAGTTCTGATCCTCATGAGAGGATACAGAAATCATTGAACTTCCCATTTCCTTTCCTTTTGGAGTAGCAGATAGCTGCCCATTGATCAATAGTTCATAAAATACCCTAGAAGGAAAATTATGATCTTCTGATCTAAAGGCAAGAAATGGATGAATATGATCAAATTTTGCAGAATGGGGGACTGAATCATACATAGATCTTGCAGTTTGACAGAGGGCCTTGTTTGTGTATCCGCCTTGTAGCCAACTAAGGCCTTTTTTCCTCTTCTTTTCTTCTCATTGATGAAGTAGGCTAACAAGGCTTAATCTGTGGTTACACATATGAAATGCAGCCTAAACACTTCAATGCTAATATAGACCCAAATAATTCTATGATGTTGGCACAAATTCCTAAGATGGAGGCGAAACAGAAAGGTCTTTTTTTTTTGTACACCATTCACCAGAAAAGTATAAGTATAATTTCTCCTTGTTTTTGTTGGATAGCTAGGAAAGTATAATTTCTGGTGATAAAATTTGTGGGATTATGTAGAAATAAAGGATGGAATGGTCCTGTCAATGAATCCATAGAGTAGCTTTGATAAGATATAATTTGTGGCTGAGGTATACATGCAACTTTATTATTTCCTAAGTTACATACCCAATGACGTCCTAATTTATAAATACAAACTTCAAAATTTGCAAAACCACCTCCAGAATGTAAAAAGGAATAACATCTCTGCACCAAGTGCTTCCTATGAATCCAACCCACATGTTCCAGAGTAGGGAAATCTGATGGGGATTCGGTCTGGACTCATGGTTAATTCTTAGAAGTTAGGGCATACAGGTAGCAAAACAAAAAGAGACCCATGTCTGGGGTGGCAACGGGGTCGGGTCCAAAGTTACTGGACCTGGACCCAGACCTGGACCCTATTGGACCCGGACCTAGACCTGACCCACAGATCAATATATATATGCATACGTAAATATATTTAAATATTGTGTTAAATATGTACATATATTATTTAAATATTATAATTAAAATATATAGTCATACTTATTTAAATACTATACATTAAATACTACTTAAAAATAATCTACATGGACCCAGACCCAGCCCCGAGTAGTGTTTGGGTCCAAATCATAGACCCGGACGCGACCCGCCAAGTCCAACTTTTTGGACCCTACCCTGACCCGAGTTGTCAAGTACGGGTCCATTGCCACCGCTACCCATGTCATAGGATGGATTACTGTCAATTTGGAGTATTTTGAATTATGGAATGGAAATATGTGAAGCGAATAGCTTACTCGGTTGACAGAATCCTTGCATATTTCAGGTTACAAAACCTTTAAATTTCTACCTCAATAGAAATCAACTTGTGCACTTGCAAAAGGTATGCATAATTATTCCATAGTCCAACCAAAGAATCGGTTTGTACACATTTCTTCAAAAACATCAAAGATGCTCTATGGTAGTATAAACTGAAATTAGTCAATATATATAAAGGAAAAATATTGATCAATGAGAAATTGAAGGTGGACAATAGGCAAAAAGAAATCGATAGGCACATGCAATTGAACTTAAACATACATTCCAAATGCAATTAAACTTAACGCACATTCCACATGCCTTTGCTTTACATTTTGTCCATTTGGAATCATGTAGTACATGTCAACACTATCCTTCAAATCCTCACTTACCCATACCAAAAAGTAGCATAACTGAATGGTAAAAAAAACTCAAAAGGCACTAAAGAATTATGAATATTAGAAAAGCTCATTTCAACCAAGGTACAAAAAGCAGAAAACAGACATGACGCAGGGTCCACCACCACCATGTAATGGTAATGCTCCATTACAGCAGAATCTAGGAATAGAAAAACTGAAAAAAAGAAATAGGAAAACATAAAATCATGGAGAAAAGGAAAAATTAAAAATGATTTAGACTGAAAAAATGCCTATCTTCAAAAGAAGCCATTGCAAGGGCTATTATTTAGAAGGTAATGCCACTTTCTCAAGTCTTGTTAATTTGAAAGAACCCAAATCCATTAAGCCGTTACAAATTACTTAATGGCTAATATGCAAAAGAGAATGTCATTATATTCAGACAAATACTCCTTGGCGGTTAATTTTAAATCACATAGTAGGTGGGCAGCATTTACCATTCTAAAAGGTATTATTTTCACATAAGGACCATTATTTCAACCCATTCTTTTGACTGCGAACAAAGAGCAATTATCTGAAAAAGAGAGTTTAATATTGAGTATTCATCTGGAAGCATACTTCTTTGTTTTGTAAGGAAAACTCCCAATGTAAAATAGGGAGCTATAAATGTATAATAACAATACCATAACAAGCGCCACACCCTGTGGATGCCAAAACTGTACAAGCTGACATGAACTTACTCAAGTAAGTCTGGGCAATTTTCTTTTCGTTACACCAAAAAAATTACTCAAATGAATCTCTCAAAACATGGAACACACCTAGATTGTCCTTGAGGAAGGGGAGATGCAGCAGAAACTCTGTTAATTGGATTTAATAAACCATTTGGCATGCTTTGCATTTGATTTGGGCTTGCATTTTGTTGGGGTTGCTGAATCTGTTGCTGCTGCTGTTGAGAACCAGAGGAGTCTACAGTTGCAGATGGTTTCAAGGCTGCACCCTGATTAACTACAGCTGAACCCTGTTGCATTTGATTCTTGTCTACTTGTGGAACATAACCAGTGTTCCTGTGTTGAAAAAACCTGTTTGAAGACCCCTGGTTGAATGAGGAACTCAGTTGTTGAATCTTCTGAAAAATCTCTTCTACAGGAGGTGGAGGCCCAGGCAGCTTTGCATGCCTATATCGACAATCAGGACCATTTGGACAGAAACCCAACTTGTACCTGCATCCACATGAAATCATGTGTAATGAGAAATCACCCAAACACTCGCCATGAGCCGCATTTTAAACACCATATAATATTCATTCAGCTTAAAATAAAACACATTATTCTTCTCAGTGCAGTTATATATCCTTCATCAGACGACATAGAGAATATCAAATAAATTATATAGATGTGTACAAAAACCATATGTTTTGACTAATAACAAAATACAAATCTCTTTTTTTTTTGGGGAGAAAATATCCAAATCATGTTTTTAGTTTGTATTGTACAATATAGATAAATAATATACGCTAGTGAATGCTCTAGTATAATACAAACTGACAGATGCTAATACAAAACAGAGACAATATATAATGCATAGATATGTGAAAACTGCATTTATAATGTATAAGATAAATCTACAGTATATATATGTAGATGCTCTTTTGCAGATAGGATATTATTTATTCATGGACATGTATTTTTTTCTTTATTTGATTAATTATTCATGGACATATATTATTAGTTCCTTAACATCCATGGCATTTTCTGGACGTGAAATATCCCCTCCAAGTCAGAAAGAGGCAGATTTTTGCTATTTGCTAGGGAAAATATAATCAAAATGATAAATAAAACAAGGGCCACCCAAAATCCCTCCATAGGAATTTAAACTAATATGAGGGAATGCTAAGGGAGATGCAACAAGTGATTGTCCTGTTTTTTTTTATTATAATGTTAGCAATATTGCATTGAGCCGACCCCAAATAGTTGGGAAAAGGCTCTGAGTATGATGAACAATATATATTTCATCGATAGAAATGCTTGTATAAGTATAAACGCTACACAAAACGGATCTAGGCATATTAGACTCATGCATATATTGGTATAAACATGATAGTGCTTGATTGAGTTACTATCCTGAGCCTGAAAGATATTTACTAGTAATGAAGGTTAGGATGTTCCTTCTTTTGGCAATGAGCCTCATCCTTTCGCTGTAGCTGGATCCCCTTCTACCATCACTCCAGCTTGAGTTCAGATTCTCAGCCCAATAAACAAGGCACAGGCTTCAGCCCCACTGCAATGCACTCACGTATAGGGCATGAGTAGGTGAGCAAGATTTTGCAATGTCATTTATTACCACTTAGTTTCAAAATAAAGCATGGAGTACCCCCAGAATTCCTCGCTTGGTTTTGCCTATGAGGCTATAATAATTTTTGTTTTTTCTTTTCTTCTCTTTCACATTAATTTTGGTCATCTAGAAGGACACAGGTATGGGAAGCTGTTTTTGACTCGGGTTTGAAGAAATCCAATTCACCTACCTATATTTTGCCAACTCCAAAACATCTATACAAGTTCTTGGGATGCATAAGTGTCTATCTGTCAATCTTTGAGTCTATTTGAGTGTGTGTGCATATACATGTGTCCATGCATGCATGTGTGTGTGGTATGTTCATTTGTTTGCTCTA